AGAATCACTACTTCATAATTCCCTGAGAAATGATGGAAGGAACAGAGGTTAAAAAAAAAAATGTGCTGAGAATTTTGTTTTGTTTAGGAAGAGAGTAGAAATAGAGACCAATGCTAGGCATCAATAGAAAAAAGTTTAGAAATATGTTAAAAATTTAAGGATTATACCATAAGATTAAACTTCAAGAGTTAATGTATTCTCTCATGGCTTAAAATATTCCTCAGAGAATATATGAGCCTGGGGTACATTCTCCTATTAAAATAATAAACATCTCAGATTGGGTACAGTAAAAAAAAAGATTCAATAATATCCTATTGACATGGATGCAGTTAAAAGAAAAAACATGCATACAAGTGCACATTTGACAAAATTCCACATCCTTTCTTGATAAACGCACCCAGGAAACTAGGAATAAGAGGAAACTACTTCAATGCCATAAAGGTCACATATGAAAAACCCACAGCTAACATGATACTCAATGGTGAAAGACTAAAAGCTTTTCCTGTAAGATCAGGAAGAAGCAAGACTGTCCATTCTTACAACTTCTACTCATCATTGTACTGAGAGTTCTAGCTAGAGCAATTAATCATAAAAAGGGCATAATAAGCATCCAAATTGGAAAGGAAAAAGTAAACTTTTTTCTATCTGCAGACTTAAATGTATGATACGTGCTGCCAAAGCAAGCACCAGACTTTGTAAGTAGATAACCCAAAGGAAGTCACACAAAAAATTGTTAGAGCAAATAAGTGATTCAGCCAAGTTATAGGATATAAAATTGGTACACAAAAAATCAGTTGTATTTCTATATACTTGTAATAAGCAATCCAAAGGAATTCTTTAAATTCCATTTACAATAGCATTGAAAAGAATAAAATGATTAGAAATAATTTTAGCTAAGAAACTTAAAGATTTATATACTGAAAACCACAAAATGTTGTTGAAAGAAATTAAAGAAGACACAAATAAATGAGAAGACATCCCATGTTCATTGACTGGAAAACTTAATATTATTAAGATGACAATACTGTTTAAAATGATCTACAGAATCAGTGCAATCCCTATCAAAATCCCAATGGTGTTTCTTACAGAAACTTTTAAAATCCATCCTAAAATTTGTGTGGACTATCAAGGGATCCCAAATTGACAAAACATCTTAAAAAAAGAACAAAGCTTGAGGTCTCCATTTCTGATTTCAAAATTTACTACAAATCAACAGTAATGAAAAGAGTATGGTATTGGCATAAAGATAGACATATAGTCCAAGGAAATAGAATACAGAGCCCAGAAATACATCCTTGTATATATGATCAAATGATTTTTGACAAAGATACCAAGACCATTCTATGGAAAGGACAGTCTTTTCAACAAACAGTGCTGGAAAAACTGGATATCCACATGCAAAAGAACCAAGTTGTACCCTTACCTAACATCATATATAAACATTAACTCAAAATGGATCAAAGACCTAAAAATAAGAGCTAAAACTATAAAACTCTTAGAAGAAAACATAGATGAGATTTTCATGATATTGGATGTAGCAATGATTTCTTGGATTAGACACAGCTTTGGAAGCTTCATAGATGGCTGATGGGAATGTTAAAATGGTGCCACTGCTATGGGAAACAGTTTGGCAGCTCCTCAAAAAGCTAAACATGGATTTTCTGTATGACTTAGCACTTCTACTCCTAGGTATTGATATCTAGAAATAGAAACCATGGAAAAGAAACAAGAACTGAAATAAATACTTGTATCCCAGTGTTCACAGCATCATTATTCAGAGCAGCCAAAAGGTGAAGACAACTTAAGCACCACCAACAAATATGAATAAACAAAATGTGTTATTAATACAATGAAATACTATTGAGCCATACAAAGGAATGAAGCCTAATAAAGTACTACGGCATGGATGAATTTTGAAAACAATACACTAAGTGAAATAAGCCAGGCACAAAAGTACAAATATTGTGTGATTTCCCTATACAAGTCACCCAGAATAGGCAAATCCAGAGACTAAAAACAGATATAAAGATTACCAGAGGCTGGGGAAAGGATGGAGAGTTTTTGTTTAATGGATACAGTTTCTCTTGGGGATGATGAAAAAGGTTTGGGAATACTGTTGATGGTTATATAACATTGTGAATGTAATTAATGCCACTGAATGTAATTAATGCCACTTTAAAATGGCAAATTTGAGGAGTGCCTGGCTGGCTCAGTCAGTGGAGCATGCGACTCTTGATCTCAGGGTTGTGAGTTCAAACTTCACACTGAGTGTAGGGATTACTTAAAAATAAAGTCTTTAAAAAATATAGATAGATAGATAGATAGATAGATAGATAAAATGGAGTCATCAAAAAGAAGGAAATCCTGGGGCGCCTGGGTGGCTCAGTGGGTTAAAGCCTCTGCCTTCGGCTCAGGTCATGATCCCAGGGTCCTGGGATCGAACCCCGCATTGGGCTCTCTGCTCAGCAGGGAGCCTGCTTCCTCCTCTCTCTCTGCCTGCCTCTCTGCCTACTTGTGATCTGTCTGTCAAATAAATAAATACATAAATCTTTAAAAAAAAAAAAAAGAAGGAAATCCTGACATTTGAGACAGCAGACAGAGATAAATACTGTATGATCTCACTTATATGTAGAATCTTAACAAAACAAACTTATCGAAAAAGATCATAATTAATGGTTTCTAGAGTCAGGGTTGTGGTATGGGTGGGGAACTAAGTGAAGACGGTCAAAAGTTACAAACCTCTACTTGTAAGACAAATTAGCACCGGGGATGTAATGTACAACATGATGACAATAGTTAACAGGGCTGTATGATATATATGAAAGTTGCTAAGAGTAAATCTTAAAAGTTCTCATCATAAGAGGAAAAAAATTTTTGTAACTATAGGTGATGGATGCTAACTAAACTTGCTGTGGTAATCATTTTGCAATATGTGTGTATGTCAAGTCATATTGCACACCTTAAACTTATACAGTGTAGTGTGTTAATTATATCTCAGTAAGACTGGGGGAAAAGCTATTTTTAAAAACTGAGGAAACATCAGGAAATATAAAAATATCTCCCCTTAGAGTGGGAATTTTTTATGCACTTCACTGAGAAATCAACAGAGAAAATTTTAAAATGATGGATGATAGGTAGATCCATAGATAAATTGAATGATTTCATTAAAATCTTTCTATCAACAATAGAATTAATCTTTAAAAAACACAAAAATTTCCTGAGCTATAAACTTCTAAGTATTTCTTAAGTCCAAAAATGTAATTTGGGTAGCCCATATTCACTGGCTTCAAATGAGTAATTCCCAAATTACCAAACACTTTCGAATAACTTGGATTTTGAAGAACATCTCAACAGAAACCACCAACCACCGAGGAAAAGATGACAAAGTATTCCACTTTCTAAACTTGCAAAATAATTTCAAAACAGTATCCAAAGAAAATTTAAAGCCTTAAATGCATTTATTAGAGAAAAAAAAGATTAGAAATAAATGAACCATTTATCTTAGTTCAAAAGTAGGAATGCCAACACCAAAATAAACCCAAGAAAAGTTAAGTAAAGTGATTGAGGAAGAAAGAAAGTAACGAAGTAGAAGTGAAACATATAATGGGAAAAAACACACATGGGTAATGGGTGAAACCCAAAGCAGGCCCCAGAATGTAGCAATGATGAGTTTGGACAGATGCTGGGTGGCTCTGCCACACACATGCTTGAAACCTGGGCACTGCAGCCTGCTCAGACCAACCAGGAGAAAGTGAGAAAGAAAAAAAAAAAGAGGCAGACCACACCAGGAAGATGAAAGAAGATATAAGAAGTCAAATAAATCATAGTAGACAAGTATGTACAATAAAATGTTTGAAAGCATAGACATCATGGAGAAATCTATGGGAAAACATGAAATATCAAAATAATTGAAAAAACTCCAATAAATTAAAAACTGCAAGGGAAGAAATGGACAAGAGAGTACAAGGTTTACCCTAAAATGCAATGTCAATTTTCAGACAATGTGATTTTTTAAACCCAGAAAATTGAACTAACAAACTTCAAGAACAAGTAAGACAACTTCCATTCGGTGGAGAGACCTGCTGGTCCATGCCCTCCAATCTATCAGCAGGGATGAATTATAACATATAAGGAAAAACGTCACTCATAATAGCGACACTGTTGCAACACTGCTAGGAGTAAATGAAACAAAAATGTGCAGAACCATGGAGAAAATTATAAAATGTAGTGTCTATAAATGTATTTTAATTAAAATTTGCATGAATAAATAGATACACTGTGTTCTTGATGGAGGATTAAATATGATACAAATGTCAGTTTTTCCCCAGATTAGTGTAGAATTTAAATTTGGCATTAATTACAACCATACAAGATTTTCCCAGTGAAATTGATGAGCAGATTTTTATATTTGAAGGAGAAAATGTGCAAGGATAGTAAAATTGGTTATGAAAAAGGAAAGCAATGAGGTAAAAATTCTCCATGTTATATATAAATATGTAATAAACTGCTATAATTGAAATAATATGTAAGAATAAACATATAGAATAGATATTCACTTTGAAAGAGGACAGTGTCCTGAAACTGACTCATGCATTTAGGAATTTACTATATAAACTAAGAATGTAAAAATATAGATTCAAAAAATGTTACTGGAATGACTATCCATTCATAACACAATGATGTTGGGTAGCTTCCTCCCCATACTCAAACAAACCCAGATGATTTATCCCAACAAAATTATAAGAGTCATTTAAAAGAAATATATAGAGTGATATTGGGGGAGCTGTGCAGAGAGAGAATCTCAAGCAGGCCCTACACACAGCACAAGCCAGATGCAAAACTCAAGCCCATGACTGGAGCTAAAACAAGGGTCAGACACCCAACTGACTGAGCTATCCAGGTGCCCCTGAAGGAAATATTTTTAAATACATTTGTAAGTAAAGAAAATGTTATAGAATATGAGAGAGAGAGAGAGAGAGAGAAAGAGAGAGAGAGAGAGAGGTTGGTTGGAAAGTCATTCTTAAGACACAGATTACAAAATCTGTAATATAAATGATAAATAAATGTTGGCTACATCAAATTTAAAACAAAATCTTTCTCTACCATAAAAGACACTAGATGCAAATGTAAAAGACAAGTTACAGCATGAAGACAACACACACCACATCCATCACAGGCAAGAGTATTAAATAGTCAGGACCGCCCCGTGACATCAGTAAGGAAAATTCAGCGATGCAAGGGTGTGAGGAGTGAACAAGTAGGTCAAAGAAGAAGAACTAGAAATAGCCAAGTGACATGAAAAAAAAAATGTGCAACCTCAAGAATCGAGATATATTTTTCACTCATCAACTTGGGGAAAAACTGTCAATACTGATGCTACTTAAGGCTGATGGGAGTGCAAAGAGGTACAGCAACTTTGGAGGCCAATTGGGCCATAGCTTCTAAAAAGGAAAGGTACAATCCCTAAGACCAAAAAACTCCACTTCCCTCACATACGCATAAACAGGCTATACGAGAATGTTTATTGAGCATCATTTATAACAGCAATGCAAATATATAAAATAAAGTAACCCAAATATCTCTCAACATGGAAATATGTAAATAAATTGTCCCTATTCAACAGTTTGGAAGTGAAGTTGTCCTATATCCATTAATATAAGAAGTTCTCCCAAGATTCTGTTATTAAGTGGAAAAAGCATATTGCAAAAGCATGACTACATAAGATACCATTTATGTTAACCATTTACGTTAACTTACAGATGAAATCCAAATTATGCAAAAGCAAATTAAGAAAAAAAAACCTGTCAGCAGGGATACACACACTAGTTACAACATCATCTTCAGGGAAGACCTCAGGCTTGGTATCAGGGAGTGAGTGGCCATGCAGGAGGAATTCTGTGGCATCTGTAGGTTTCATTGTTTTAAGTAACAGAATGTGTTCATGTATTATTAGTGTAATTAGAAGATAATCAAAAGCAAATATAAAGGATTTGATTTCGTTTGACGCAAAGAACAGGCGTACAGGTTCACTTTCTGACTCTAGTCATCAACATCCACGTTTTTCCACATGATACCATCCTCTGTGCCATCAGGAGAATGGATAATGTGGCATTTCTCAATACAGCAGCCCCCTATGTCTTTCTGGATACTCTCCCATGCCGCTGATCCCCATTCTGCAAGGTTTGATGCTAGTACTTTCTCAATCTTACCAGAAGGTGTCACCAGAATGTTTCAGACACCATCCAGGACTCATTTCTTCGTCGTCAGATGGTCCTTCAGTGGTTTGTTAATGGAACCATTGAGGGACTGAAGTCCTCCAGTCAAGCGAGGAGTGGTGACAGGTGCAGGAAGCAATATTAATTTTGGGGCAGCCACCTGGGCAACAGAAAGTTAGGGCTGCCGGTGGAGAGGCAGATCCTGATTTCTGAAGTGTTGAGGTGTGAAAGTGTACTTATGAACTCTAGAGTCTCTAAAAGCCCTCCCAACTCTGGAGCTCTGCAACTGGGTGATTTCCAGAAAGAAAACCATGTGAGACTGTGAAGCCTCATTTCTCTGCCAGTGGGCCCAAGGAGCCTAGTGGTAGTACCTGGACCTAGGACTCTAGACTTCATCCTGCCTGCGAACTCTAGACTTAGTAGGTGGTGAAAGACTATGTTGCTAAGCTTCATGGAATTGAACCCTATCAGGGGAAGTGGCCCCCACAGTCCTTTGGATCCTGAAAATACCCTGAGCAAAAGCCTTTTTTTGCCTTGGATCACTGAGCCCACTTTCTGAGAGCCCAGGATCATGGAGGGAGAAACTAGGGATGGTGAAACAGGGTCCCTGTTAGGCAGGAGGGGCAAGTCCTCCCTTGATCCTAAAGACAGACTCAAGGGGGAAATGTAGATGGGCTTCTGCAGAGCTAAGGGTTTTGCTCCCAACAGAGCAAAGCTGATCCATGTGTGGGCCACCCCATTCCTGTCCTATGAGTTATACTATTCCCCTCCTGTCAGTCACCCCATTCCTACCTGTGAGCCATCCTGCCCACCTCCTAAAGACAACCATGACTCTTCCTGACCAGTCTAACTGGATTCTAGAACCCCACCTGCCTGTCTGTGCCATCTCCCTGAGTATCACGTGTCCTTCTGCTCACCTTGGTTACCGCTGGGATTTCCTGTGGAACTCTGCAGGTCACTCTGGCTTCACTCTGGTGGAGGGTTGGTGGGATGGGCTGGGAGGTCAGAGGCTGGAGGCAGAGCACAGGTGCACTGGTCAGGGTGAGTGGGGTGGGCTGGATGTAGGGCAGAGCCACATGGAGAAGATCTGTCTCCTTCCCTCCAGCCCTGTCCTCTACAGAGGAGGGAGACTGTCACATGATCAGATATCCTTTGACCTGGGATTGCTGCTGAAGCCTGCATGCTGTTTGTCTAGCATTAATGAGAATATTATCTCCAAGAAGGGACACTGTCCTTGGCGACACAGAGTGATCATGGGAGACATTCATCTCAATAAATGTGAAGCCCAGCCATGGAGATCTGAATGGAAGGAACACAGATTTCTGCTCCTTGTTAATTTCATGGTTGACTTAACTGTTTTTAAGTGATTATAATGCGAGTGATGATGTGCTTGAAAAGCTCTTTTTCTTCTTCCAGCCAGTTCTTCTCTTTCTTTGTCCCAAAAGATTCACTCTTAATTTGAAGCTCGAGTTCCCCGTCTTAGGGCTTCTTATGTGTTGTAGTCTGTGGGAACAGATTCTGCCTGTCGTAGGGGCTAGAGCACTGAAGAGAGGTTAGCGATGATGATGATGGTGATGAAGGCAATGACTATCCGTATTCCCCAGCTGTCCTTCTGACCAAGCTGTGTGCGTGCATTGGTTTACAGAAATCTTCTCAACAGTTCCCGAGGCTGACAGCGCAGCTGCCTGGAATGTGAGCACCGTGAGGGCGCGGCTTTCTACCACTGCATCCAATCATCTAGAACAAGGCCTGGCCTAGAGCTGAGCTCAATAAATACTTGTTTCATGGGCGCCTGCGTGGCTCAGTTGGTGAAGTGGCTGCCTTCAGCTCAGGTCATGATCTCAGGGTCCTGGGATTGAGCTCCACATCAGGCTCCCTGCTCAGTGGGGAGCCTGCTTCTCTCTCTGCCCCTCCCCCCTGCTCGCTTGTTCTCTCCCTCAAAAATAAATAATGAAACTTCTTAAAAAGTAAATAAAGGTTTCACAAAAGGGATGTCATGATCATCCACATTTTTTAAAACAACGTAACTGAGCCTGAGGAGATTAGAAGACTTGCCCAAGGCCACCCAGCTTAGAGGTGGGACTGAGTGGGACCCAAAAGGCTGCAATCTGCCTGTGGGGGTGGGGATAGTGCAGCCTCTCCTCAAAGTAGGGGAGTGGTGTGAAGGCACTTTGGAAAAATATGGAAAGTACTGTACAGGATGGGCTACATTTTTTTTTTAAAGATTTTATTTATTTGACAGACAGAGATCACAAGTAGGCAGAGAGGCAGGGAGAGAGAGAAAGGTGGGGGGGTAGGCTCCCCACTGAGCAGAGAGCCCAATGTGGGGTTCGATCCCAGGACCCTGAGATCATGACCTGAGCCGAAGGTAGAGGCTTAACCCACTGAGCCACCCAGGCACCCCGGGCTACATATTTTTTTTTTAATAGATTGTAATTTAGGTTGCAAGTTAATTTAGGAACTCTTATAGCATTTTTTTTTTTTTTAAGATGTAGGCTCAGGACCCTGAGATCAAGACCTGAGCTGAGATCAAGGGTCAGAGGCTTAACCAACCGAGCCACCCAGGTGCCCACGAAACAAATATTTATACCCCCACGCAGTATTTTCCAAACATGGCCACACATGCATTTTTTACGGTATAACATGGAATCTCGCCCTGTGTCCGTCAGGTGCCTCAGGCCTGCGCCCTCCACTAAGGTGATCAGGAGCCACCAGCTGCTGACGGGCTTTTGCAGTATGGCTGGTTCAAATGGCAGTGCGCTGAGCGTGAAATACACTGCATGTTTGGAAGACTTTGTAAGAAAAAGAGGATATAAGCTATCTTGCGAATAATTATTATATTGATTATATGCCAGATAATATTTGGGGTATAGGTGGTTAATAAACTAGAGTATTGGGGCACCTGACTGGCTCAGTTGGTAGATCATGCAACTCTTGATCTTGGGGTTGTAAATTCAAGCCCCATATGGGTGTAGAGATTACTTAAAAATAAAATCTTTTTTTTTTTTAAGATTTTATATATTTACTTGAGACAGAGACAGTGAGAGAGAGCATGAGAGGGGAGAAGATCAGAGGGAGAAGCAAACTCCCTGTGGAGTTGGGAGCCTGATTCGGGACTCGATCCCAGGACTCTGGGATTATGACCTGAGCGGAAGGCAGTTGCTTAACCAACTGAGCCACCAAGGCGCCCAAAAATAAAATTTTTTTTAATTAAATAAAAATAAATATAATATTAAAATGAATTGTACCCAAGAAGTACCTGCTTTATTTTTTAAATGCAGCCATTGGAAAAGTTAAGTGTCCACGGGGCCACACTGTGCTCCTACAGGATAGCACTGCCCCCCAGATTCTTCTGGACTCTGGGCACTCTGAAGTCAGACAGGGAGGTTCCTCGACAGGGCTCCCTCCTTGGCCTTGAGGGCTTAGTGAGATCCCATGGGGGAGGGCACTGCCCTTCCTGTGCCTGGGCCCTCACAGGGGCACCAACTGCAAATGTTATTCCAGTCTATAAAAAACAAGAGGCTGAGGCTTTGAAAGGCTCAGCAAGGGGGATGGTAAAGCAAGTGCAGACCCTCACCCCACCACCCCTTCACTCTGCTCAATGCTGGTACATCTCACCTCACGTGCTTCCGGGCTGAGGTGTCTTCCCCTCCCTTGCCTATAAAATTCACCCATTTTAAGTGTGAATTCAATGATTTTTAGTTAATTTATAGAGCTAAGCAACCATCACCACAATCCACGTTTAGAACATTTCTATCACCCCATATGCAGTCCTTCCCCACTCCTACACCATCCCCAGGCAACCACTAACCTACTTTGTCCCAGCACCACTTAAGATGACTATCCTTTCCCTCCATTGAATTGCCTTGACATTTTTGTCGAAAACCAATTAACCATAAACGTAAGGGTTTATTTCTGGCCTCTCAAGTCTGTTCCATTGATATATAGGTCTGTCCACATGCCAGTATCACACTGTTTTTTGTTTGTTTTTTTTTTACTGAAGCTTTACAGTATTTTGAAGTCAGGAAATGTAAGTCCTCCAATTCTGTTCTTTTTCAGAATTCTTTTGGCTATCTTTGCCCTCAGAGATAAGCTTGCCAATTTCGGCAGAAAATTCCTGCTGGGATTTTGAAAAAGATTGCATGGAATCTATAGACACTTTGGAGAGAATTACCACTGTAATGATGTTGCATCATCTAATCCATGAACATGGACCCCCTCTATTTGTTGAGGTGCACACAGGTTTCCCTCTGCGGTGGCCCGGTGTCCTGGGAGTCCTGCATCAGGCAGGCTCAGGGTCTGGGCCTCCCCACAAACACACACTGCAAAGCTGTATCAGGATGAAATACTCCTTATTATGTCCCTGAAGAACAGAGGAATTTTTTTTTTAATGCTAGTAAATGGGGATTTACCATACCGCAATGGTGTAGAAACTCGGCTAAACAGGCTGGCATTATGAAACGGAAGCCAGGTTATGTTTGTTCCGGTGTCAAGAGAGCAATTCAAAACATCAGCTGGATGCTGCTCGCCCTCTTGTGGCTACATCTGGCACTATGATGGCAGATGGGACTTGTCTGGGGGCCCCAGGAAGGGCCCCTGCAGGGTGGCTGAGTATGGGCGGCTGGCGCAGGCCTCCTGCCATGAGTGGGAGGGTAGGACTAGGAAGTCACCGCCTGTCTACTGCCTGGAAAGGGCAATCAGGACCTACCCCCTCCATGCTTCATTCAGTCTGGGCGTCCGCTACAGACATCTTTCTTCCCACGGGCTCTGAGAACATTTCTAAAGGCAATTCTACTACAGGACACTTCAAGCTGGCCTGAAAGCACCTTGACAAAGCGAGAAAGTAAAGGAAGTGAGTAAAAGAAGAAGCTAAACAACCATGAGGATGTCAACTATATCTCAGTAAAGTTGGGACAAATAAATAAGGCCATATGCTTAACGAATTGTACCTTAAAAATACTATTTTTCATGTCAAATACCTTTTATTGCCCTTTTACTATAAAATTATTTTGTTAAAATTTGAAAAAAATATCAAAAATCATAAAGAACAAAAACTTATACTCCTACAACCCAGTAACAACCACTGTAAAATGTGCATATGCATTTATAGGGTGTGTTGATGTCCACTTGAAACAAATTACTCACTATAATGGGTGTGTCTGTGTCTGTGTGTATTCATATATAAATGCCACTGAAATATGCTTTTTAAATTTGACATTACACAATAAGCATAATGTCAATAAGCAGATGCCTTTGACATCATATTTTCTCTCCTGTATATTATTCCATTGCATAATAACAGTTTCATAATCAGTTCTCTGGTTTGGGCTATTTCATTCATTTCTAACTTTTAATTACTAATACGCCATTCTCTAATGAGCATTGGGATCAATTAGGATGTTTTTGACTTCAAGTAACATTAAATCTAAATCAAAGTGGTTGAAACAAGGAGGATAGAGCAGAATCTCACATAAGACCCAGAAGTGGGAGGTTTCCAGGTGGGCTCACAGTCTCACTGATCTCATATTTTACATGCAAGAGAACGCCACTAGAGGATTTTTTTTAAAAAACACCTTCAAATCTATTTGTAATTTTTAAAAAATTATTTGAGAGAGAGAGAGAAAGAGCATGCAAGCAGCGGGTAGAGCGGAGGAAGAGAGACAAGCAGACTCTGCTCTGAGTGTGGAGCTCAACAAGGGGCTCGATCTCACATCCCTGAGATCATGACCTGATCCGAAATCAAGAGTCAGATGCTTGGGGCACCTGAGTGGCTCAGTGGATTAAAGCCTCTGCCTTCAGCTCTGGTCATGATCCCAGGGTCCTGGGATTGGGCCCCGCATCGGGCTCTCTGCTCAGCAGGGAGCCTGCTTCCTCCTCTCTCTCTGCCTGCTTCTCTGCCTACTTGTGATCTCTGTCAAATAAATAGCTAAAATCTAAAAAAAAAAAAAAGAGAGAGAGAGATGCTTAACCAATTGAGCCATCCAGATGTCCAAAAGTTATTTGTACTTTT